TATTATTTTTTTTTTTTTACCCCCCCCCCCCCCCCCCCCCCCCCTCTCCCTGGCTACCATTTATGTGCCCATCTGGCCCAGACAGATAGAGCAAGCAGTACGACAAAAATCGAAAAAAAAAAGAGGCCCAAGCCCAAGCAATAAAAACGCAAACGCCATTTGCCTACCCATAAACCGCCTCCCTTAACCTAGCCTGGCCGCTTGCACATCAATCACACACAAAAAGAGAGCAAAGAACCGTGAGCCCCAGATCTACCAGCCCGCCACGCGCCACATCCACGCCGAGTCTTCCCTGTCATTCCATAGCTAGAACTAGATAGAATTATGGCGAGATCAGCTAGCAACGGCGATTGCGAGTTTACTCCTCGTCGCTCTGCGCGCCGCTGCTCCCACCATTAACCTGGCTGCTGGCGCCGTTGGATGCATGGGCGCTGGCACTGGCGCTGACCGAATTAGAGACCAGCTTGATCCTAGTTGGCGGGCCGCTGGGCGTGGGTTGCGGTGTCCCATCTGTCGCGGCCGTTGAGGGCGCGGCCGAGCCGTCTTAATCGCGAGCCAGCAGTACCAGAAGCAGCAGACGGCTCCTCCAGCGCGCGCAGGTCCGGGTTGTCGGCGAGCTCGTTCTCGAATCGGGCGCGGAAGAAGGCCTTTTGTACGCGTGGGTGGTTAGCATGGTTTCAAACCCAAGTAAGGGGGGTCAACGGGCATACCTCGATGAGATTAACATCTTGACAAATCCCGCTACTCTCCTCGTTGAACGTCCGGCAATTGGCAACCATCAGGTCCATATCTCTCCGCATGTCGGCCAAGCTGTTGTAGTCCTCCTTCTTGATCCTCTTCTGGATGTCGTTCATGCAGATGGGGTTGGTGATGATAAGGTAGTAATCACCCCAGTCACGCTTGGGCGGGAGCTTGACAAAGGGCCCAATGATGAGACGCTTTGGCGGGCCATCCTCGTCACCGTCGGGATTCTCCTGCGGCTCGTCGTCATCCACTTCGAAGTTCATCAGCCCGTCGAAGATGCGACGAAGGCTCTTCTGCAGCTTATCGCGCACGTCGGGCGCCAGGCGGCTGTCGGGGACGCTTGCATTGATCGCCTTTGGACGCCCTTGTGGCCCACGGCGCTTTTTGGTCGGGGGCTCCTCGTCGCCCTCATCGGCCTTGCGCTTCTCCTGGTTCTTGCTCCCCGGCTTGCGGCCGCGCTTCTTAACCGGCGTCTCCACCTCCTCGGTGCTAGCGCGGCTAGCAGCTGGCGAGTTCTCCAGTGACGCACCCGCGATGCCCTTTCGCTTGAGTTTGTTGATCTCGCGCTTCTGCTTGCGGGCGGCCTTCCGCGCCGCGGCCGCCTCGGGCGAATCGTCGTCGTCGTCAACAGCCATGAGCCATTGCTCTTCCGTGAGCCCATCGTCGTACTTAACCTTGGTACGCTCGCGGGCTCCACGACCTAAGATGGTTTCCTCCTCCTCAACCACCGGATTGCCCTCGTTCAAGTAGATATCTGGCAGCTCCTTCTCAACCATAAGACGCGAAACGCACTTGCTGCCAGGGGCACTGCCGTAGATGGGATCGCGTGCCCTCTCCTCATCCAGCTTTCTGGAACACGTTGAGCTCCTCGTCGGTTCGGGGCAAGGATCAGTTCAGTTTATCGCCTTCCATTTCCTCTTGCTCGTGTGACTCAACCATAACGTCTCTCCCCTGGGGGGGACACCCCTCTGGCATCACGTGTCTGTTTCCGAGGACTTGTTATCGAAACGACCGGCCTGAATGACCTTGCCATCCATGTCGAGCTTGTACCTGGCGCGCTCGAGGATCTTCTCTTCGACGGATGCTGAGCTGATAAGCCGGAGGATGCGCACTTCGTTCTTCTGACCGATACGATGGGCGCGATCCTGGGCCTGCAAATCCTGGTGAGGATTCCAGTCGGAGTCGTAGATGATGACAGTGTCAGCCGTCTGCAAGTTCAAACCCAGACCACCAGCGCGGGTGGAAAGGAGGAACATGAAATACGGCGAGTCAGGCCGATTGAACTCGTAGAGAAGGTCAGATCGGTCCTCGGACTTCGTGGTACCGTCGAGCCGGAGGTATGTAATGCCACGGAACCGGAGGAAGTCTTCCATGATGTCCATGATAGCAGTCATCTGGAAAAACATCAACACACGATGGCCCGTCGCTTTGTATTTGGGGAGAATCCTGTCCAGAAGCTCAAACTTTCCAGCCGTTCTCCAAAGGAGATCGTTGCTGGTGTTGGAGGGGTTCATCTGGGTTCTCGACCTCGTCAAACACAAACGGATGGTTGCAGAGCTTCCGCAGCTGCATGATCATGTTGCTCAAGCCGCGGGCGCCGGCCTTACCCCCGCTGCCGTCACTAACGGCAATCTTTTGGTGGGTAACCATTTGCTTGTACAGGCGGGCCTGCAGGGCAGAGAACTTGCACTTGATGACCTTTTCTGTTTTGTCGGGAAGATCCTTCTCGACATCCTTCTTGAGACGACGCAGCAAGAACGGCCGCAGCACCTTATGCAAGCGACGGATGACGAGAATCTGCTCTTCTTCTGTGAGCTCCATCTTTGTCTTGGCCACCGGTGTTTGCGAACGGAGTGTTGAACCACTCATCGAACGTCTTGACGGACTTGAAGATATTGGGGAGGACGAAGTTAAGCATGGCCCACAGTTCGGCAAGGTTGTTCTGCAGCGGGGTACCGGTGAGAATCAAGCGGAACCGGGTGCTGTAGTACTGTTGAATGGTGGCGCTCAGCTTCGAGTTTGCGTTCTTCATGCGGTGACCTTCGTCGATGATCATGTGGAACCACTTGATCTTGCTCAGCAGCGGACGGTCCTTGATGATGTACTCGTACGTCGTAAGCAAGACCTGGAACCTACCCTGGCGGATCTTCTCTTGCTGGAGCTTTCTGGCGTTCGGAGGACCCTTGTAAACCACCTTGGTAACCGACGGCGCCCACTTGTCGAACTCCAGATTCCAGTTGGTTAGCGTACTGAGGGGAACGATAACCAGGTACGGGCCATGTTGATGCTTCCTCTCAATCAGATATGTAATCAGACTGATGGTCTGAATCGTCTTGCCGAGACCCATCTCGTCAGCGAGAATACCGTTCAGGTTATTGTTGTACAACGACAACATCCACTGCAAGCCCTTGATCTGGTATTCCTTGAGCGTACCGCCGACCAGGATACTGGCTTGTTCAGTGACGTCTTCCTTGATGCGGTGGGCAACAGCATAGTAGTCAATCTTGCGGCTGCTTTCCGCATCCTCTTCCTCAGGCTCGCTCTCCTCGGGCAGCTCGGCGTCGTCGCCATAGCGTTCGGCGGCCTGTCGTTGCTGGGCACGGACGGAGGAGGCAAGCTGGTGCAAGAAGCCGTCGGTCTGCCGGAGCAAATGAGTAATACGGGTATCCTTGGCCTGGTCGAGCAGTTTGAGGTATGCCTCTTCATCGTTGGCTTTGAGCGCCTGCAGACGTTGCTTGGCCGTCCTCTCGATCCTCTTTTGCTCTTCTTTCTCGATGTTGAAATGGTGAGAGTACATGTGGCGACTGAGCCTCTGCGTTTTCCCGCGCTGTGCCTGCCCCGCGCTGAGCACCTCGTTACGGTGATTGTATACGGCTTGCAGGAAGTCGACGTGCTTCTTGCGCTCGCGGTTCTCACGGGCATCACGTTGCTGCTTCTCAAGCTTTTCGGTGACGCGAGCTTCCCTGACATTCTGCTTCTTCATGCGACGGTACGCAGCCCTGTTCGTCGTCATAGCTAAGTTGTCGTAGTGCATCATCTGCTTTCCGACTCTGTCTCTCAAAGCGCGCTGTTTGGAGTACAGAGCCAGCTTCTTCATCTCAATGATGGCTTTCCGCTTCGCTGTGTCATCAGCCACAAGGTGATCTTGAGAAGCATCCCAGTGTGCCAGGTTGCCCGGGAGCGACTTCAGTTCCGAGTACCTCGCGCTCATACGGTTGAAGACGATCTTCTCGCGATCGGCCCTCAGCTGCTCAAAGTCAATGCCCGTCGGGAAGATGCCGGGGATAATCAGGCGGTTCTTCCGGCGTCCGTGGTCCATGTACGAGATAGACTGGCGCACGAGCCCACCGTCGTATGGGGATTTTATTGTCTTGAACGACTTGGGCTGCGGAACCGATGCGGCTTCGCCTTGGGCATCTGCTCCGTTGGTGCCAGGCTTTGCGCTGTCCTGTTCTGATATGGCGGTGTTGTCGACTGTGGAAGGAGATTGTGGGGTTTGTTTTGCCGAGGACATGCGACGCCGTTGTCTGTGCTCAAAAATGGCCTTCTGCATCTGGGCTGGTACGCCCGCATTCTTACCAAGCATCCTGAAAGCCTTGATCTGTGTCCACAGCAAGTTGAGCTGGGCCGGAGAGAAATGGCTGGACTGATTTTGCGCCGGCGTGCCGGCCGCGTTGGCCGTCGGGGCGCCCGGGGTTGCTGGTAGAGCAGACGCCCCAAGTGAGGTTGTGGAGGGAGGCATTGTGGTCTGGATGCTGGTCGGCTGGGTGGTGCGAGCAGGCTGGGCTCCGTTGGCAACACCATTAGCGTTAGCGTGCTGCTGTTGCTGTTGTTGTTGTTGCTGTTGCATCTGCATCTGCTGCTTTCGCAATTCGCTCTGACGTTGGAGGGCGGCAAGGATCGTCTGGGTCTTAACGAACTCGGGATCGGTGCTGGGAATGCCTTGCTTTTTCATCTGCTGGAATCTCTACTGGAGTGTTAGAAAGAAGGCTAGACGGGCCGAGGCAACATCAAATGGGAATCTGGGGCAAGGTGTAGAACGGACCAGATAAATTTCCTGCGCCTGCTGCTGGGTCATGCCGGCCGGGATGGCCGAGCCCGGGTGCTGCACCGCAGGGGGCACCTGCACACTCGCCATGATGATGGCAGTGACGTTGGGTATGCCAACTGGTGATCAATTATTTTATTTGGAGACGGAATATGTGGGCATATCTGGAGGGCGCGAAGCAGTCGCAATCGAGGGGATGTGGGACCCGGTAGGGATGGTCGACGCGGGAGCACCGACGAACGAAGGGCGGAATGCTGTAGCCTGTCGCGTCGAAAAAACAATGGTGGCAATTAAGCGATTGCAGCGCTGCAGGGGAGGATCGATGTAGGCGTTCGGGTGTGGACAGCAACCTGGGGTTGGGTGCAGATACAAACGGGGTTTGTCGCGTCGCTGGGTCGAGCGCAAGTTGGGGTCTTGGAGTGGTGTTCAGCCGCGCCTGGGATGGCGACGTGCTGTGTGGGGGGTTAACGTGAAGGAAAATAGCAGAGGGTGGATCGGCGAAGTGAAAAAAGTGAAAGACAGTCAAAGACGGCTGGGGTTGTGTGGTTGCCCGATGGATTGTGGGGGGTTGGCGCGTTTTGTGGCCGGCGATATCGAGATGGCCTCGATGCGTCGCAGGGAGATTGGTGATTTTTTTGATGCGCGCGGTCCCTTTGATCGATGGAGGTTGAGGCAGAGCGAACCGACAAGATTGAATGGCGCGGCGATGCTGGTCCGGGCTGTGCTGCAAACTGCACGCGAAAATTTGAGCCCGGATTACCTAATCATTTGCCCTGCGTAAACCAGCCAATAGGACGCAGCTCGCCGCTGGGATCCTGTAATAATAGAATTGATCACCTTCAAAGCGATTGTTGTATGTTGAAGCGCGCTCGATAACCTGCGAAAAAGTTCTTCAAACGTTAAGTAAGAGCTTCCAAGGGTAAATTTAACTTTCACAATTATTATTTTGCAAAGTTTCCCACTCAAAACCTCCTCTTCGCGTGGTCTCACTACCCATGATAGCGCTTAGTAAACAAGCCAACGGGTACCTGCAGCACCGTAAAGCGCCAATGGTCTAGTGGTTAGGATTCAACCCTTCCAAGGTTGAGGGGGGGGTTCGATTCCCTCTTGGCGCAAAGTTGATAACTTCGATGTTTTCTTTTTTCCTCTTCCCCCCTCTTTTTCCTACCCCTGGGAAACCCCTTTGCCGTGTTGATGTTATGTTTGCTCACCTCCAACTAGTTATTGAACAAAATGAACATATTTCGCCGATCCCTTTCAAGGCTTCAATGCCTGGTATCAGTTCCCCCACCCAAACAAAACAACGACGAGATAATATTCTAAAACCAAAACGCCCTAGTTATCTCCCAACGCCACAAAAATGCCATCGCCCCAACCGCCCATCATTTTCTTTCTCACCTCTTCACCCTCTTAGCCTCCCTCCCCTCTCCACCACCATCCTCCCCATCACTCAAATCCGCATACTGCGTAACCGGCTGCGTCTTCGCCCACGCGCCTGTAAACACGGGGTCCTTTTTGGCCACCTCGGCATACTTGAGTAGGGCCTCGCGCGGGTCCTCGTGTAGCATGCGGCTGAGCGGGATGTTCTCCTCGATGTGCTTTTCGTCCGGCTGGCTGCGCATGAAGGGGGTGATCTGCTGCAGCTGCGGCCGGTAGGGGTCGCGCGACGTGCGGCCCGAGGCCGAAACCCCGCCGGTAGCGCGCTTGTGGTGGGAGCCCGACATGGCGCCCGGCGTGATGATGGCGTCGCCGGATAAGCCCAGCTGGCTCTGGTCCATGGTGAAGGATGGGTCGTCGTCGACGTGGCGCTTTTTGGGCGCGCGCGACATGACCTCGAGGGCGCCGCGCGTGGAAAGGGAGGGGTGGTAGAGGACGTGGGTTTCGGCGTTGGCAGAGCCGGTGATGATCTGGTTGAGTTTGGCGTGCCAGTCGACGGTGATGAGGGGGATCCCGGGGGTGATGGGGGTGACGTGTTCGGGGCGGAGGTTGGCGGGGTTGAGGATATGGAGGTGGCCGGAGGCGGAACCGGTGATGATATAACGGGAGTCGGGGGAGTATTTGATATTGGTCATCGGGTATCGATCCGAGGTTGAGGGGTGGTCGATCTTGACCAGCGGCTGTTTGAACTTGCGCGTGTCCCAGAGCTTGATTAGCCCGTCGCCGCCGCGGGTTACCACCATCCGGCCGTCGGCGCTGATATCAACACCCCCAGTCCAAGTACCAGGCTGGTGCGCATCCTTGATTTCCCCTGCTGGCCTGGTAAAAGGGCCATTGCCGTTGTACATGACCAGCGATCCATCCAGAGCAGTAGCTACTAGGAGAGGGCTGGTCCCCTGCGCAGAAGCTCCCCATGCGACTGCTGTCATCCTAGTGCGCCCCGCTGTCCCTGGGGCCTTGGATTTGAACGTAATCACCTCTTTCTGGCTCCTCTTGTTGTTGATGTCCCATATCCTCAGCGTGCTATCTGAACCCGCCGTTACGCACAGGTTCTGGTCCGTGGGGTGCCATGTTCCCGTGGCAATTTCTCCCACATGCCCCTTGGTGTTCTTCATGTCCCGGAGGTACATGTCGCCCTTCACGAATTCCGTCACCACGCCGCCATCTCTTGACATGATCTTTGCTTGGGGGTGCGCGGTGACGCAAAGAAAGACGCTGCCCGAGTGGCGGCTGAATTCGACGTGCTGAATCGGGTGGGAATCGGAGGTTGCTGATTTCTTAGTTTCCCACGGATCGACGCTCTTGAAGGCTCGCAGCGTAGTGGGCGTCATAGCCGCAAAGTCGTGGAAGTTGACGTTGCCGTCGAGGGAGCCGGTAATCATGCGCGACCCGGCAGGGTCCAAGGCAATGCTTGTGATGGCCCGTTCGTGTGTCTTGAGCACCATCTCGTGGGTCACTGGAAACTTCTCGGCCTCGTCCTCATCGTCGGATTCCGAGTCGCCGTCCGAGTCGCTATCATCACTATCAGGAGTAGCTTGTTTTCGCTTCTGCAGCGCTGGCTTCTCAATCTGTCTCCTCGTCTGCTCGATCTGCGCCGCGATATTCGCTTCTTTCGTTGTCTTGCCGAACGCCTTGGGTACGAACGCCTGCATGGGGTCATCGGGGGCGAGGCTGGGCGCCTCAACCCGGTAATCGTCACTATCGCTGTCGCTCATCTTTGGAGTTATTTTGATGTTGGCGAGCGGCAAGAAGATGTGACGTGCAGTTTTGGGATGGATCGGCTTGTTTAAATCGAACTTATCTCAAGCTGTTCTTGCCAAGCATGTCTTGGCCGATCCACTTTCACGCACCATCGAAGGACCTATCTTGCTTGGCATCTCAGGAACCTTGCGGGCTGACCAAACACACAACCCAACGACACTTTCAATCAATATTTTCGTCAATTGGCCAGAGTTTTGAACTGATCAATAATATGGCAGGCATTCTAGGTAGGTCGACAACTAACTTGACACAGGTACTAACTACATCACATCACCAACTTCCAACTTAAGCCGTCGCGCTGACGGTTTTCTGTTCCTCCTTCGCCTTCAACTCGGCCAATCTCTTCAGCTCCTCCTGCCTCATCTTCTCCTGCACCTGCAGCCGCGCCGGGACGACCGTCTCCCTCGGCCCCGTGGCCTTCCACCCACTCAGCCTCTCCTTGCCCAGCGCGCGCAGGGTGAATTGCTCGACCAGGCTGTAGTTCCCATCCGCGCGGTCGAAGCAGTGCTCCTCCTTGAGCGATACGGCCGGGTTGATGATGATGCGCACCTTGCGCAGGGCGTTACTTGAGGGCGCGTGCAGCATGAGCGGGTGCATCAGGTAGACGTCGCCGACCTTGCCCGTGGCCTCGACGAAGTTGTCGCAGCTCTTGGCCACGTTGCAGAAGAAGCTCAGGTCCTTGTGCTGGCCCACCTGGAACCCTTCCTCCCCGCGCGGCACCATGCGCGGCGACACGCCCTCCGGGTGCTCGTATAGGTGCTTGGCGATCTTGGGGATCGCCTCTGGGCAGATCATCGTCGCCCCGCCGTTGGAGACGATGTCGGTGAACAGTGGCGTTACCAACAGCGCTTGCTCGCGGCTGTCGAGGTAGTGGACGAAGAAATCGCCGTCCTGTTTGGCAACGTTAGATCTTCGTCCTGGATGGAGGTATTCATGATGCATTGGGTGCGGCGGGGGGATAGAGAAAGACCTCGGGTTTCACGTACCACATGCCACTCGGGCAGTTCCTGTGGCGGGACTGGCTTGCCGCCGTGCTTCTCGTCGCCCAGGTTGACAATCAGCGAGTCACGCCATTCCCTCGAGGCCGGGTCGACGCGGTCCTCGCCACCGCAAAGCTCGCAGATGGCAGCCCAGGCGCGCGGCGCAAAGTCGGCGGGGTCAAACTTGTTGTGGCCGGGCATGTTGGTGCGCAGGCGTGTCCATGTGGACTGGTCGTTGGGGTCCATGCCCAGGCGGGTCCATACATTGGCGTTGACCTTGTCGGCTTGTTCCTGCGTGAAGGCATTGGAGATCCTGAGGTGGGGGTCAGACATGGGTATGGGTCTGGAAAAGGGAGGGGTATGGAGGGAGGGTGTGTGGGTAACAAGGGGAGGGTAGAGTATCCCTAAAGGTGTGAAGAAAGGTTCGGTACCGAGACTAGGCTTACTTGACCCACCCGTGGGTGAGGAAGTGTTCCTTCTCTTCGGGTGTAAGAACGGATGTGGACGACATGATGATGATGATCTTGGTTTCTCGGTTCAAGAAGAACTAGCAACAATATTAAGGCTGGGAAGGTGTTTTGCTTCTCTGACTCTGGCTTTGGCTCTGGCTCTGGCTCTGCTTTTGGTTCTGACTTCACTCTGGCCGCACCATCGAGGCCCCTTTTATAGACGTCCGACCCTCCGACTCAGGATTCTAGTCGGGCTTCGACCGGGCCTCAACCGGGCTTCAACGACGCCTCGTGATCGTCGCACATGTGTAATACACCCACCCACCGTATCTCCGAGGTGCGGGGGAAGAGGTATGGTTTAACCAGCGGCATCTCATTGGATATCGGATGCATTCTCCGGGGATAACGGCGCCTCCGGTTGCCTGATGGGTCATAGCGAGCCCCTCTGGACCCGCGAGCCCGGTTGGTAGGGCCGGAAGTCAGCCGGAAGGCGGCCGTGGGTAAATTGGTTTTTTGACCCCATGGAAGACCGAATCCGGGCGTGCCAGGATACTGGGTTTACCGCCGGTAATTCAAGGAACTTTGTGACTTTGTGAAACTCTGTCGAAGCGGGTGTAGAAGAGGGCCGAGAAGGAGCTTCGGGCCCGTTCTGGGGCTCATTTGAACATATATTTGGATTCATCAATGAATGGAACACATACACAGACTATCCAACACAACTGATGATCCCATCTCACCAAATTCCCAAGACTCCGTTGTCCCTGTCGTGGTGCGCCGACAACGCGGAGCCGAGCGGGGGCGGGGCATGTGGAGTTGACCAGTCTCCACTCCTCGCCTTAGACCCGCTCGAGACCCGCTCGAGACCCGCTCGCATCCATTCTGCCTGCCTTCTCCCGAACCGCCAAGACCCACCTTTTTTTGTCATTCACGGGACCTTCCTCCCCAGAAATATTTGAAGTTCGATTGAGTCTCATCAAAAACAACCCCGCGCCTCAAGATGTCGACAGAGCCATTACATGATGAGGACTACGTCTCACATGAAGACTCCGACTTTACGCCCGACAATGCTCTTACGGAGGAATCCTCTGCTTCAGACAATGACGAGCCGGCCGAAACCGAGAAGCAGACCCAGTCGAAACGGAGACACGAAGGTGCCATTGATGCCGCTAAGGATGCGGGTTTCGAGAACTCCGGGGACGAGGCTATAATTGAAAAAGGGAAAAGGCGACGGAAGAAGGCCAAACGGAAAGATGAAGGGATTGGGGAAGATGAAGGAGGTGAGGGAGGGTTGATCAAGACGCGTAGCATGCGCGCGGTTGAGTATGCAGCCCAACTCTGCAACGCAATGCGCCACCTTGCTCACCTGACCCTATTTTTTGCAGAAAGGCCGAAAAACGAGCAGAGGTCGCAAGCGGCCCGGTTACAATCGACGTGGATGCGTTGTGGGCACAAATGACCATCAAGTCGGGAGGCCGAAATCAGCAAGAATCAGCAACCACACAACCAAGAGAAGAACTTGCCGAGCCTTCGTCACCATCAAAATTCAAACCAGCGATCGAGAAACCCGAAGAATCCGATCTCATTCGCATAAAACGAACCTACAACTTCGCCGGCAAAGTCCACACCGAAGAGAAGCTAGTGCCCCGTGATTCAGCCGAGGCCAAATTGTATCTTGCCGGAAACGGCGGCGAGTCGGCGCCCGCATATGGCGATTCCTCCCCCACGCAGAAACGTATGCCACGGAAAGCTTTCCGGTCCGTGTTTGAGCCCGTCGCAATCGAAGGCGTTTCCCGTCGATCGGACTTGAGCCTGGGCATGTCAGATCGTTTACGAGCGCGTGAGACCAAGGAGGCGGATGCCAAGAAACTGAACACAGTGGAAAAGAGCAGGATGGACTGGGCTGGGTTCGTGGATCGGGAGGGTATCAAGGACGAGCTGGAGCTGGCGGGCAAGTCGAAGCACTCCTTTGCCGCCCGACAGGACTTCTTGGCAAGGAGCGAGGCCCTCAGGGAGGACGAGGCCAGGCGATTGCGGATGGCAGGGAAAACATGACGTCTGGATGCCAGTAATTGTATATTGTGTAGGAGTAAAACAAGGGGTTGGGCATGGCGTTAAAGGACATAATACCCAGGAGATATACAAATTGAAATGGCTATTGCTATCCTTACCCACCTTGCGTTAACCCTCGAACCCCGGGACAACTCAACGCAACTCCTTAGAGCCTTACCTTCGTCTCGCCCGCCGGCAACAGCGTGACATCCGTGTACGGCAAACCCAAGAACTTGTACACGAAATGGAACCTATCACATGTCAGCACACACCCAAATAAGAACACTACCTCCTTTCCCCCTTCCCCAATTCTCTCTTCCCCCTAAGACAAACGACAAACTCACCGATCACTCCCAAAAAACGGCTCCTCCCTCCCCTGCCCATCCCGCACCCACAGCCACGGCGCCCCAAACGCGCCCTTCTCCAACGCCTCCTGCGTCGTCCTCCTCAACAACCCCTTCATCTCCTCCGTCCCCGCCGCCGCCAGCACCTCTTCCACCTCCCCCTCCGTAAACAACAACAACAACAACACCCCATCCCCGCTCCTCTCCCCACCGCTGTTTCCCCCCCGTCCTGCTGTGCGTAGACAAACCCCGCAACGCCCCCCTCACCCCCCTCCACGGTCGTCGACCCCCCATTCGGCGGCGGCGCCCAAAGAGGCCTCGAACAGGCCCGCTGCAGCGCCGCCAGGGAAGGTGGCGCGCGGGCTGCCGGCCGTTTGATGGAAGTGGAAGGCAGCGG